GGGGATAGCGCCACTGCTCCTTGCTTATTGCTCACTCATGTTGTTAGACAACTGAGTTACATAGGAGTTGATGTTCTCAGAGTTAGTTTCCCACTATCCCATCCTCTTTTCCAAAGCACTAAATATAGCATCATTCTTGGATGAATCTTGTTGAATTAGTGAAGCTAAGGAGTTGAACTGAGTAGCGTTAGCAGCCCTTTCTTCCTTCATTAAAGCCATCATACACTACAGCAAAATGTGTCATTTACCTCCCTCATTTATGTCTGTTTTCAAAAACAGAAGAGACTTCATGTCTGTTCTAAACAAAACAGACGTGAACTCGCGTCTGTTTACAAAAACTAGACGTGAATTCACGTCTGTTTGTGTGAACAGACGTGAATTCACGTCTGTTTAGTCAAAACCGACGTGAATTCACGTCTGTTTATCCATAACAGACGTTACTTCACGTCTGTTTCTAAGAAACAGACATGAGTTCACATCTGGTTTTTGTAAACAGACGTGAGTTCACGTCTGTTTCACAATAAACAGACATGAAGGGGCTTCGTTTTTAAACAAAATTTGCCCGGTCGCATCCTATGCTCGCATCAGTACTATCAGATCTGCATGTACCGCACGCGAAAAACCTCCAGCTCGCAGCTTTCTCGTGCCCAAGTTTCATTTTCGGTCTCTCCCTCTCATTTTCCTCTTGTCTGAGAAGTAGCCGTGAGCGACTCAGTATTTCGGTCTCTCCTCTTCAGCTCTTCAAGGCCGTATCCCTCCCTCCATTGCGTCGTGCGTTCTGCAGTAGCCGTGTTACAGTAGCTCGCCATTGAAGCCGTGAAGATCTGCGTGTACTGCGAAGAACCTCCAGCTCACAGCTATCTCGCCGTTGAAGCCGTGAAGCTGACACACACTGTAGTCCGTTGATTCGAAGGCACGCCCGAACAGTGAAGGTAAGTTTATTCAACCGTTGCATTGTGGGTTTAGTGTGTTGTGCGTGGGTTTGAGTAGCTTGAGGAGTTTTGAATTGGTTTCTAAGGTTGCTGTTTAAATTTTTACTGAAGAATTGTGTTTAGATAGTTTTAAATTTGTATATATTGATTTGGGTAGAAATTTTAAAGATTTCAAACCTTGTTAATCTTGTTAGAAAAATAATGCATACAAGGTGTTTGTCAAAATGCCTAAGAGGGATTGCATTAGATAGTTTGCTATATGTATTGAATTTAGATTAAGGATTGGGTATACATTAAATGATTAATGAAAAAATTGCATTTAGATAAGTTAAAATTTGTTTATATTGATTGGGTAATAGATTTGAAGTTCGAAATCATTTGCTTGGAATTGGCATGATTTATGTTGTAATTGGAATGAATCGGATTCAATTGATATAATTAGTTTTGAATTTGGTTAATGTTTATTGGGACTGTGCTGAATGGAATTAAATTGTTTATAATTCCTTAGGTAGTAACGGAATGGATCATAGTTGGATGAATGCTTTGAGAACAAATGATGAATATGAGAACAGAGTAGAACGATTTATTGAATTTGCTAAACAGAATGCTCCTAGCAATAACGGAATGTATTTTTGTCCCTGTGTCAAGTGTTTAAATGAGAGACGACTAAGTGTTAATGATATTAGAGATCACCTGCTTTGTGATGGTATAAATCTTCGATATACAAGATGGATATGGCATGGTGAAGTAGGAACAAGTTCAATACTCGAAGAAGAGGAAGTTATGGATGATGTAAATGATAGAATGAGCAATATGATTCGTGATGTAGGGGTAGAGTTCTTTGTGCGATCACATGCAAATGATAACTTGAAGAGTGATGCAGAGATGCCTTTGTACCCTGGGTGTTCTAAGTATACACGATTGACAGCTGTATTGAAATTGTTCAGTTTAAAAGCAAATAATGGGTGGACTGACAAAAGTTTCACAGAGTTGCTTCAATTGATTAGTGATATGCTTCTAATTGATAACGTTCTTCTAAATCGTGTGTATGAGGCAAAGAAAATCTTGTCTCGGATGGGTATGGGCTATGAAAAGATACATGCTTGTCCTAATGACTGTGTATTATACAGAAAAGAGTATGCTGGTCTACGTGAGTGCCCAAAATGTAAAACTTCACGATACAAGGTGAAAAAGAACATGGACTGTGCTGGTAACTATGATGGTGATGAGACAAGTAAAGGGCAACCTTTGAAGGTGTTATGGTATCTTCCGATAATACCACGATTTAAGCGCTTATTTGCTAATGCAACAGAAGCGAAGAAGTTAAGATGGCATTTTGATGAGAGAATATCAGATGGAAGATATCTTCGACACCCTGCTGATTCTCCTCAATGGCAGAAAATAGATGAAATATTTCCGGAATTTGGTCTTGAACCAAGAAATCTTCGCCTTGGGCTTTGTACAAATGGAATCAACCCTTACGGTACTCTTAATAGCACACATAGTGCATGGCCAGTACTGTTGGTGATTTACAACCTACCTCCCTGGTTATGTATGAAGCGCAAGTACATGATGCTTTCTATGATGATTTCAGGACCGAAACAACCAGGAAACAATATCGATATCTACTTGGCACCTTTAATTGAAGATTTGAAGATGTTGTGGGAAGAAGGTGTGGATGTGTTTGATGCATACAAGCAGGAGTCCTTTAAGTTGCGTGCCATGATCTTTACAATGATAAATGACTTTCCTGCATATGGAAATCTATCAGGATACAGTGTGAAGGGGCATAAAGCATGTCCTATATGTGAAGCAGACACATACTTCCACCAACTTAAGCACGGAAGGAAGACAGTTTACCTCAGTCACAGGAGGTTTCTTGATCGGTTCCACCCATACCGGAGATTGAAAAAGGTTTTTAATGGCTCACCAGAGCATGGCATGGCTCCGAAGGCATTAACTGGAGATGAAGTTTACCAGTGAGTTGAAAGAATCAATGTCATTTTTGGTAAGACTCAAAAAGCTGCAAGTGAGAAAAACATATGGAAGAAGAGGTCTATTTTCTTTGATCTTCCATATTGACGCAGTCTTGATGTAAGACACAGTATCGATGTGATGCATGTAGAAAAAAATGTGTGTGATAGTCTTATCGGTACTCTTCTGCACATACCTGGAAAAACTAAAGACGGAATTAATGCAAGACTTGATCTGGCTGAAATGGGCATTCGAGAGCGCATACATCCACAATTGAGAGAGGGTGGTAAGCAGGCTTATATGGAACCTGCGGCCCACACATTGTCTAATGTCGAAAAAACAAGCTTGTGTCGGTGTTTGCATGACATCAAGGTGCCCCAGGGGTATTCTTCTAATGTGAAAAGGCTTGTCTCAATGCACGATTTGAAGTTAGTGGGAATGAAGTCTCATGATTATCATGTACTGATGCAACAACTATTACCCATAGCTATTCGAGGCACAATGAGAGATGATGTGAGGAGCACTATAACTAGATTATGTATCTTCTTCAATGCTATTTGTAGCAAAGTCATTGACATAGAGAAATTGGACGAATTGGAAAAAGAGGGTTATGTTATCTTGTCTCAACTAGAAATGCACTTTCCCCTAGCATTTTTTGATATCATGGTGCATTTGATCATTCATTTAGTGAGGGAGATAAGGCTTTGCGGTCCTATTTTTCTAAGATGGATGTATCCATTTGAGAGGTACATGAAAGTCTTAAAGGATTATTCTAAAAATCCTTATCAACCTGAAGCATCAATTGTTGAAAGGTATGTAGCGGAAGAGGCTATGGAATTTTGCAAAACATATCTATCTATCGCTAAGACACCATCTCGGCATGAAAACGGTACAAGTAAAGGAATCAGGGGGCTGAAGGTAAAGAGTATGGGTCGTGAAGAAGTGTTACAAGCGCACTTATACATATTGAATAATATGGAAGAAGTGCAGTCGTATTTAGATGATCACAAAAAAAGTTTAAAAGAAAAGTATCCAAAGAAAAGTGATATGCAGATAGCTAATGAGCATAACAAAACATTTATAACATGGTTCAGTGAAAAAGTTTTGAGAGAGGCCAATGTATCTGATACAATAAAATGGTTAGCTTGGGGTCCTTGTTTTGAAGTTATCACTTGGAGTGGATACAACATAAATGGATATTCCTTCTACACAAAAGCTCAAGATGACAAAAGTACTGTGCAGAATAGTGGGGTAATGGTGGTTGCTGAAGCGATGCATTTTTCGAGTTCGAAAGATAAAAACCCCAAATTGGCATCTATGGCTTATTATGGAGTTATTGAAGAGATATGGGACGTAAACTACACCAATTTCAAGATTCCTGTCTTCAAATGTAAATGGGTCAACAACAATAGTATTGAAATAGATCAACAATTTGGATTTACATTAGTTGATCTTGGCAGGGTTGGTTATGCAGATGAGTCCTTCATTTTAGCAAGCCAGGCAAAACAAGTATTTTATGTTACTGATCTAGCAAATAAAAAATTGTCTATTGTCCTTCAAAGTAAAAAGCAGAAGGACAGTGATCCTACCATGAATCTTGATGAGACACCACCTTTTGCTTCAAATCCGCCTAGACCAAGTGAAGTAAATTGGTAGATAATGATGAATATGCTGCAAGAGATGATCATTGTGAAGGGATATGGGACAATGCATAAAGTCAGATTAAGTAATGTAATTTTGCAACGTACCTTGTGTTATTTTCTTTCATTTATTTCATAGCAATGTACTTGATATTATTTATATATTAATACAATTCACTATAATTTACTTATTTATCTAATTTTGGTTTTTCAACAGGCACATGGAGGAGGATTTTGATGCTAATATGGAGGAGGGTTGTGAGAGAGATATGGAGGAGGATTATGACATCGATGATGTCAATCAGCAGGAAGGAAGGAAGGTTAGAGGTAGTACAAGGCTACCAAAGTTAGCAGTACGTCATGGTCGTATTCAGAAGAGGCATGTGGATTTTGATGCCAATATGAATCCAATTGGTGAAGAGAAGGACAAATTCATTAGCTATATAGGCTCCATTGCCCGAAGCAAAGTTAATATTCTATGGCCTAATTGGAAGTCAATTTCTAAGGAGACGAAGGATAGGATTTGGGAATATATTTTGGTATGTCACTTTCTAATTTTATTTCATTTGTTTTATTGTAAATATAGTTATAACTAAGATCTTTAACTTAAACATATATATTTTTCTTTGCAGCAAACGTATGACATCCCTCGTACTGAGCAAATGAAAAAGTATTTGTTGCAGCAAGTTCGTCAGCGTTGGAAAGATTTTAAGCACACACTCACGAGCCAGTATGTGCGAGGGCCTAAGAAAGATGATGATCCGTGCGAAAAATACTCCTTCCTTGATCCAGATGATTGGAGGAGGTTTGTGGCATCACGGCATGATCCTAAATTTCAGGTACATTGCCTTATAAAAAATTTAATTTTGATTTAATTTACTTCACTTACTCAATTTACTTTGTTTTCTTTTCCACAGGAATTAAGTGCGATGAATAAAGAAAGGCAAGCTAAAAATTTATATCCGCACTATTTATCCCGTGGAGGTTACAAGATGCTTGAGGAGAGGATCATGCAGAATGACTTTAAGGCGATGCAGGAAGCTGCAAAATCTGATCCTAGTATCGTTGTTCAGACCCCACCTCCTCCTCCACGTCATAGAAAATGGAAGGAAGCAAGGATAAAGAAGGGTCAATATATTAATCCAACAGTTGCTGAGATTGCTAAAAAAATTGTAAGTTGTATAATTCAAATAACTTTAACTTATGGTAATATTTCTTATATTTTATCATTAATTTTCATTTATACTGTCATTAATTTTTTATCATACTTAAAATGTTATAGGAGGTACTTGAAGAGCAAAGCAGTGAAGGTTCATTTAGTCCGAGTGGAAGGATGGACATTTTAGCGACAGCGATTGGGAAGCCTGATCACCCCAGACGCATTAGAGGAGAAGGGAGGACAGTTGGTCTTACCCAATATTTTGGACAAACTTCACGAGCTTCTCTACGAAGTCAGCCCACTTGATGAGATGATAGCTAAACTTCGAGACCAAGTTCGTGATGAGCTCCAATCTGAGCTAGAGGTCAAGATTGAGGCCCAGTTACGCCAGTCACTTCGAAAAGAGCTTATGGCTGAGCTTCGTGATGAGATGAAATCTATGGTCTCTAGCATGCAAATTGGGACAGTTCAACAAAAATGCACACCCCAGGTTTGTAATCAATTTCACTTAAATTGATGTTGAGTTTTACCAACGTTTTTTATTCAATTTAATAACTGCATTTCTCTCATTTAGGATTCCCCCGTCTTTCCTAGCACTAAAGACAGTTGTAATCCACTGGGGGCATTGGGAGAGCATGATCCTAGTAGTCCCACGCCGGACTTTGGACAACCTTGTTGTCTTTGTTTAGAGGTCCCAAGGATGCGTGTTGTTGCTGACGCTCTCCTCTACAATCAAGGGAGCACTATCCATCACCAACATATTCAAGAGGACCAAGTGAGGGTTACAGTTACTACTGTTCGAGAGGGAGAGACAGGTGCGGATGTGCCATTCCCGACTGCTGAAGTTGTGAAGTTAGGTCAGGCAATTGGAACTTTCATTCTTTGGCCTAGATACCTTGTTGATGAGGAGATAATACCTGTGATGGTAAGAAAATGTTGTTCTATATTGTGTGCATTTTTTTAACATAATACTTCTAATACTTATTATGTTTATTTGATATTTCATTAGGACCAGGAAGATGTTAATAGATATCCCTGCTTGGCACAATTATATGAGGAATATAAAACAATTAACAAGGTTGACATAAAGATGCCTGTAGGGATTGTGGGTGAAGAAAAATCATATTTCTTTGGACTTGACAACAAAGACATCAGGGATTTCTTATCCTTGAAGGAGTTGGACATAGCATGGGTTCAATTAGCAATCATGTAAGTTTACTTGTTCATTTCTAACTTAAATTTCTCATTTCTTACTTTCACATACTAATAATTATCTTATTTCAATTCAATGATAGCTTCTTCCATAACAAATGCATGTCATCAATGGAGAAGAGAAATTTGTATGGATATTTATGCCTTGCAAGTGTCCAGAAGATGTACAACCCACTAGATAGGAGAATCAGATATGTGGGCAATATGATTGGAGACACTAAATTACCTTGTTATTTGGCACCAATTATTGAAGGGCAAGTAGCTTAATTATATTTATTTATACATACTTAATTTGTTAAGAATTATTGTGATATCCAGTAATGTATAAGTCTTACTCTATGATGCAGTTGTCATTGGAGTTTGTGTGTTTCTTGTCCCATTGACAATGTCATCTACTGGTTTGATCCCTTGGGTCGTCGTCCAAGCAGTGAGATGAGGGGCGTTTTCAACACGTAAGTACCTTAATGTAGATCAATAATTTTGTTTTCAATATAAATTATTTAACTTGTGCTTTCATTTGCTTATAGGGCTTTAAAGACTTATTATATAACCGGTGGGAAGCGTTCCGGCAAAAATGGCTCAACAACTTGGGTATATCCTAGTGTGAGTACTTTAAATTGAAGTTCTTTCATTGATGACAGTTATTTTATATATGAATTTGGATTATCATTTCCTTGTGATTTGCAGTGTGCTAAGCAACAAGGGCCAACAGAGTGCGGATACTACATTATCCGTTATATGTTTGAGATTATTGAGAGTGGATGTATCACAAAATTTGATGAGGTAAGTAAATATAATTTTAGTTTTGTAATAGTTGAATTTTTAAATTGAATTGTTACTTATTTTATTTTCTTCCTATGTTTAAATTTGTTCATTTGTCAATTTACAGATTTTTGATAATGATTGTTCATATACTATTGATGACATTAACTTCATCCAAGACCTTTTGGCACAGCAACTGCTTCAAGAATTGTGGTCCAGGGATTGATCAAGTTTATGTTTAGAGATAATAGGATCAATATTGACTTTTGTAATTTGTTCTTCTTTTTTGACTAGTTAGTTAATTAATGTGTCTATATAGATGAAGTTATGATGTTGATATATCTTGGCTGAAAATATTGACTGGTTCATACTATTTCAACTTGCTGGAAAGTGGCTATTATGGCTATTGTGTGGCTGTAGGGGAAGTAGTATATATGAATTGAATCTTTTTTTAAAAAAAACAGAGGACATTCATGTCTGTTCAGCGAAACAGAAGTAAAAAAATGACGTGAATTCACGTCTGTTTTATTATAAACAGACGTTAATGCACGTCTGTTTTATTATAAACAGACGTGAATTAACGTCTGTTCATAACAGAAGTAAAAAGGGGGTACTTTTTATGTCCCTTCTTTTCATGTCCCTTGCAAAACAGACGTAAAAAGTCATGCAAAACAGAAGTAAAAAGTCTTCATTGTAGTAGTGATATTGTGTAGGAGTTGGTTGGTATCATCCTTGGGTGGGACGGTTAGTGCTTGAGATTGGTTTAGGAACTGGGTTGAAGATGGACCAGCTCCTCCACTCCTCTGAAATCTGTTTGGGGGTCTACTATCATCATTCCTCCAGTCCAATTGAGGGTTTGCCTTCCATCCCTTGTTATAAGTGTTAGAGTAAGGGTCCCACTTTTGATTTGGACAGACTTGGTAGACTGCAGATACCTCCTCATAACGGCCTGGACATACGCTAGAAATATGCATAACCGAGCCACAAGTCTCACAACTAGGGGCAGTAATATCCATAGGGGGTACTGGTCTATGCACATTCATATTCTTCAATTCCGCAGTGATTACAGACAATTGAGAGGTCATCGTGCCTTCCAACGAATCCATCTTTGATTTTAAAGTGTCCATTCTTCTATTGTGAACTGAAGCAGCTCCCAACTCATGTACTCCTCTAGTATCTCTCACACCGTATTGTTGATGATTCAAGGCCATCTTCTTAATCAGATCCTATGCCTCCTCAGCAGTGGAGTCTATCAAAGATCCTCCTGATGCAGCATCCAACATACCCTTCTCTTGGTTCTTTAACTCATCATAGAAATACTGCACTAGTTGTTCATCCAGAATTTGATGATGTGGGCATCTTGAAAGCATGTCCTGAAATCTATTCCAATAATCATAGAGAGATTCGTCATAGTCTTGTTTGGCAGAATAGATCTCCTTCCTCATTGATGAAGTACGAGAAGCCAGAAAGTATTTCTCCAAGAATGCTTTCCTTAAGTTCCCCCAACTGTGATATGCATCAGCTATGTCTCTTGGAAGGCTCATATACCACTCTCTAGCTTTGCCCTCCAATGATAGGTGGAAAACCTTCCATAGCACTTGATCTAACGATGCTCCCACAGGCTTCATACTTTGGCAGATCATAGAAAGGGATTGCAAATGAAGATATGGATCTTCTCCTGTCAAGCCATGAAATTTTAGAAGGGACTTAATCAATAATCCTTTAATTTCAAAATTAACTTCAAAATTTGGACAAGCAGCAGTAAATGGGTCAAAATTGACATCAGATGTGGTTGCTTCCCTAATTGTTCTTCTCCTAGGGTTCCCATTATTTTCTCCCATTCTCTCTTGTTCTCCATTCCCTCCATTGCCTCCATTCCTCACTTGGTTGGCATTGGGGTTAGGATTAGGGTGGTTAGGTGGTAAATCAGCCATTATCTCTTGATCAGTAGGCTCACTCTCACTACTAGATAGGCTAGATTCCACAGAAATGTTCTCTTATTCAACTATTAACTCACTTGTCGCCTCAACTCTTTTCTCTCTTCTTATCTCTCTGAGTCTTCTCTCAATCTCAAGGTTATAGGGCACAAGTTTTGCTTTTCGTGGCATGCAAGAAAAGAGTCACAAGAGAAAGAGCAACAAAATTGACTTGCAGCACACAAAGTCAGATAAAAGTATGAGTTGTGATGGATGCAAGTGTAAGGATTAGTATGAGCATGTATGCACAGAGAAAGAAGCAAAAAGTGTAAGTTTCAAAACTTTTCAGAATAGTTCATCGCAGCAAAAGGTGACAGAGGCAACCAGATAGCTGTGTGCAGGAAGTTTGCCGCGGCAAAAGCAAGAGTATGCCGAGGTGAAGGTATCTCGAGAGGAATCCTTCTGTTTTTCAGAAAGTTTGCCACGGCAAAAGGTTAGGTTGGCCGCGGCGAACTGTCACAGAAAGCTTATCAGATACTGGACGCCATTGATGCAAGGTGAAAATACTGAAAGAGTAGAAAATCAGTATATTTGTTTGTATTTCCAAAAATTTTGATGTTACGCAAGATGGGAACCTATACTATGAATAAATATGCAGCGAAACTAACTAAAATACAACCTAAAAGGATCAAAACTTCAATTGACAACCCAATGACACAAGCTAACCTAGAGAACCAATTTCTTGGCTCCCCGGCAACGGTGCCACTTGAAAATCACCTTGACTGTCTTTGTTTACACCTTAGGGCCAATTTCAAAAATTTATCTAATGATTGTACTATAGGTACAACCTCGGGTCATTTCACATGTGGAGCCAAAATTAAGATCCTAGATTAACTAAATGCCATGGTTATGCAAATTAAGTTGGAAAAGGTTGGGGGTTTTCATTGAGATTTGTAATTAAGATAAAATGCAATAGAATGTAAATGTATTTTTGGATTTTTGGGAGATTAAGATGAAATGGTTGGAAATCAAGTACTGAATCAATTGATGAAACCTCT